CCAGAGATGATGACGTGGAGCAATGGAGCAGCTGGAGACTTTGGATCCAGAGAGGGAGAGCGACTGTGTGCTGAAGACCTGGGGGATACTGGGGAAAGATTGCATGGAGGGGATTGTAACCATGGCAATGAGATGATATACGATAGAATGAATGTAAAACTAATGTTCTCCCATGTAAACTATCACACAATTCACAATAAAACATTTTTTTAAAAACCCTTTCTGAGTTTGACCAGTCCATACAATCCTCTCTCCAGTCTCATTTCCCATGTGGCCATTTAACAATAACACCTGGAAGCCACAATTACAGTGACCATCAGAATGACACGGAGAAGACACAGAACCTTCTTCTGTCTCAGTTTTGCATCTTTGTGTTATTTTCAGTGAACAATTTCACTGTTCCAAAATTGTAAAAGATATGAGTTGCAATATTGACATGCATACAAACACCATCATCTATTTAATTTCAGGTCTGATCATGAAATCAAATTTAGTTATGAGGCTTTATAAGCTCATCCTCAACTCTGTTTTCATTTTTCAATTCCTACTCCTGAGATCTGTCATTTCTACCGAACCCTATGACACGGCTACAATTCTTCTCTTTCATTGGTCACAGGTCACAGGTCACAGTTCATTCAACACTATTCTCAGTGCTGCTATCCTTGTTTGGGCTCAGGAGAGGTTAAGTACTGGAGGCAAAAGGTCAGTTATTAAAATAATAGCTTGCTTTCTCCAAGTAGGAAATTTAGAATAGCATCTTGGACTTGCCTACTATATGAAATGAAAAGACTTTAAGCCCTGGCTTCACCTAGGAACTGTGAACATTTTTATTAACTGGAATCAAGAGAGACATGGGTACAAATACAAGCTCTAGTACTTATTAGCTAAGTCATTTAATTTCACTCAGCCTTGGCATCCGCATCTCTGAAATGGGGGACATTTCAGAGAGAGCTGTAAAATTTATGGAAAAATGGAATGAAAAGATAACACAATTTCATCACAAAGCCTCCTTGTAACATCTGTCTCATGGGGCTACTAAGAAAGGCCAAGCATGTGTGGCATTGAAAACACACTGCAAGCAATATTAAGCTTCTTTCATGATAATAATTACCGCCCTTGGTGTTTTATTTTCCAACCAAGTTTGTAAAATCTAGCACAACATCAACCAATACGACTAAGCTTGAGAAGAAATCCACGACACTACATCTTCTGTGTAGTCCTACACTGAAAGTCTTATGGATGTGAAGCCACCTTTCAGTGTATTAGCTTTGAAAGGATGTCTGAATTTTGGCTTCCTATCTGGAAGCTTCCAATACAGATGAAACTTTGGAGACTATCAGATCAGCTGGCATCATAACATATTAAATTGTGGGTCATATTATCATCTGCTCAAAGTGAAAAACATTAGATTCTCGAAATAACAGCTGAAAGATGATTCCCTACACTCTCAAGGTGGTTCTACTTTAGGAAACGTCAAGCAGCATTCATAAAGAATCATTCTTTGTGTGTGTGGTCATGTTCTGTTGCTCAAAATGCTTTGTAGTAACTTGCCCTTTTTTTACAATCATAACATGCTTAATGCTGCAGCCAGGAGCACCACGGTATCTGCATTTATCATTCGAGACTCTACCAACCCCTCTGTGATTTCACCAGTTGATAAACGATAGTTAAATGGACCTAAGTGAGGTAGGGAACAGGGGTGGGGTACAAAACTCTTGAGAAGCACTCCTTTTCACAAAGGAAGAAAAACTACACAGAACAGGATCAACTAATATCAGCTACTATTACTCAATTTAGAATAAAGCTACCTTCCCCCTAGGGCATAAAAGTACAGGCTCTGGGGTCAGATGGGTCACATTTAAACCCCTGCCCCCCACTCCCTCCATAAACAAGTTGAATGACCTTGGACTTAGTGTAGTTGTGAGGATTAAACAGGAATATTGTATGTTTACAAAACAGTTCCAAGGAGATTCTATTATTATTGCTGATATAGTAGAGGACACAGTGATACAAAGCTAATCTAGAAATGCCACCTTTCCCAACTTCATGAGGTTGTGTCTGAAGGAATCTCTGTGTCAATTCAAATAACCTCCCCTCAAAACGTCAGTGATTAATTCAGTTTTGTAATTAGCTAACTAATTATTTAAATACCAGCAGGGTCCCCCATGGTGGACAGGTTTCAGATGAGCTTCCAAAAAAAGACAGACTTGGAAGAAAGAGTGATGAATTACTTCCGAATCTTTAGTCACTGAAAACCTTAGGAATAGCAGAGAAACACTGTCAGATACAATGCTGGAAAATGATCCCCCTCAGGTTGGAAGGCACTCAAAATGCGACTGGGGAAGAGCTGCCTTCTCAAAGTACAGTTGTCCATGATAACGTGAATGGAGTAAAGCTCATGGGAGAAAAGCCTACAGGACCTTCATTTGCTGATGGGGCAAAACTCAAAATGAAGAGAAAGAGCTGTAAACGTCCACTGAAAATCGGAACATGGAATGTATGAAGTATGATTCTGGGAAAACTGCAAGTTGTCAAAAATGAAATGCAATGCATAAACATCAATATCTTAGGTATTAGTGAGCTGAAATGGACTGGTATTGGCCATTTTGAATCTATGATTTACTATGCTGAGAATGACAAATTGAACAAGAATGGTGTCACATTCATTGTCAAAAAGAACATATCCAGATCAGTCATGAGGTACATACACCGTTGTTTGTGATAGGATAATGTCCACGCGCCTACAGGGAAGCCCAGTTAATACCACTATTATTCAAATTTACGCATCAACCACTAAAGCCAGTGAGGATGAAATAGAAGAATTCTACCAACCTCTTCAATCTCAAATTGATCAAACATGAAATCAAGATGTATTGTTCATTACTGGTGATTGAAATGCAAAGGTTGGGAGCAAAGAGAAAGGATCAGTAGTTGGAAAATATGGCTTTAGCGATAGAAATGATGCTGGAGAACGCATGATAGAATTCTGCAAAACCAATGATTTGTTCATTTCAAGTACCTTCTTTAGACAGCATAACAGATGACTATACACATGGACCTCACCAGATGGAATACATGGAAACCCTATACAGGGTTGCTATGAATTAGAACCAACTCATCTGCACTTAACAACAACAGTATAAACATAGTGAGTGCGGTGGCTCCATAAGATACGTACTGGACTTCAAACCACAAAGTACACAGTTCAAACCCACCAGATGCTCTTTGGGAGAAAGATAAGGCTTTCTGGTCCCACAAATACTTAAAAGTCTTGGACACTCTATACAGCGTCACTTTGAGTCTGAATTGACTCAATGACACTTAACAACAACAACAGCAACAGTGTAAATAACCCCTTCAGACTTAAAATAGTTACTGATGAAGATCAAAGAGCACAGCCTTCGGTATGGATTGCATCTCAATGTACAGAAAGAAATCCTCACCACTGGACCAATAAACACATTCTTATCAATGGAGGAAAGACTGAAGTTGTCAAGGACTTCATTCTTCTTGGATCAACTAGCAACACTCACAGAAGCAGCAGTCAAGAAATCAGATGATGTATTTCATTAGGCAAATCGGCTGCACAAGACCTTTTTAAAGTGTTGAAGAGCAAAGATGTCAGCTTGAAGACTAAGGTGTGCCTGACCCAAGCCATAGTATTTTCAATAACCTCACATGCAGGTGAAAGCTGGACAGTAAATAAGACTGTAGAATAATTGATGCTTTTGAGTTACGGTGTTAGAGGAGAATATTGAAAGTGCCATGGGATGCCAAAAGAACAAACAGATCTGTGTTGGAAGAAGTGCAGCCAGAGGGCTCCTTGGAGGCCAAGATAGCCAAACTTGGTCTCTCATACTTTGGACATTTTGTTAGGAGAGACCAGTTGCTACAGAGGGATATCATGTTTGGTAAGGTAAAGGGTCTAAGAAAAAGAGGAAGACCTCCAGTGATATGGATTGGCAAAGTGGCACCATCAATGGGCTCAAGCGTGACAATGGTAGTGAGGTTGGCCCAGGATCGGGCAGTGTTTCGTTCTGCTGTGCATAAGGTTGCTATGAGCCGGTACCAACTCGATGGCTCCTAACAACAACAAAATGTCCTTTTAAATTTTTTTACAAGAAATTCTTGAAGTCCTTTTTGGCAAGCCAATGAACCAGAAGGTCAATGGTACTAGGCACGAAGAAAGGTGGAGGGGTAGAAAGTGACTGGGTTTTAAGTCTAAGCTACCAAAGATGTGGCATATGTGCCATGACTCCTATTCCAGCATCCACACAGACATTACTAACTGATCACAGCACTCAGCTGTTCTCCCAGACCCTTGTGTGGGCCTTAACTTCTATTCTACAGGTATCCAATACCATTTGATAGGATTTGACATGGTGACATGGAACCCACAAAATGCTTAAGTGTTCACTCTTGTATGTATATATGGTGAGACCTAAACAAATTCCTATTCACCCCATGTTGACATTTCTGTGTTGCGAAACGAGGATAAAGCATTGACTCATCTTATCTACATTTCATTGGTAAGCAAACTGTAAGGGGGAACCCCAAACTACACGGTCACAGTTAACCTGACTGCCAATGGAATAGTTTTAGAATTCTCCATCCATCCACCATTCCCTGTCTCAGATTTCATATTTTAAGAAAGACATTTTTCTTAAAACTTTAAAAAAAAGAAAGAAAAAGAAATACAGAATTACTTGAATATCCAGACATCTGCATACAGATTTACTTCTTGGTCCCTCCAACACTCTACTGTGTATTAACTTGCATGTGCAAACACAGAGACCTATCATAAGACCATCACAACCCAGCAGGAAGGACAGGGAAGAAACAGTAGTCCTACCTCAGTTCACAATCTGTTCCACAGGGCTCAGTAATGGGCCCTGGCCGGGGGAGCTGATCACATCTTTGATCAGAAACTATGAGCTGATCTGATTCCCTGGTGCAAACAACTTTTCTTTCCCGCTCCCCTAGAAAGGAACGAAAACATTATTCAGAGAAAATTACTTGCTCTATTAACTATTTAGATCAAAGGTCAGCAAACTTCCTGGAAAGGGCCAGGAAATAAATATTTTCAGTTTTGTGGGCCATACAACCTATGACAACAACTGAACTCTGCCACTACTGGGCAAAAGCAACCATAAAAAATAGGACTATAATAAACAATTGGGGTGGCTTTGTTCCAATAAAGCTTTATTTATAAAAGCAGGAGGTGGGTTGGATTTGGCCCATTGGATACTGTTTGCTAATCCTTAATTTAGACAAAAGGAATAATATGTAATGCATTTACATACACCCATATCTCAGAGAGAAGAAAATGATAGAGATGATTCTACATAGCATATCCTATGCATAAATCCTACAGAAGAGGGATATAGAACATATCTTGAACCCTTACAAAGCTAAACTTGCCAACCCCAAATGATCAGATAGATTCGGAGAAGGGAAAATAGAGAGAACATGCAGTCAGAAAAGTTTACAGATCGTTATGAATTTGGCTGTTTATTAAAAACAGAAAACTAAACTCCAAAACGCAACCCCAAAGTAGGTACCTTGGCAGGGCTTACTGCAAGCTTGCCAGGGCCCATGGCTGTTCCAGTAAAACTGCTGAGGTTTGTCTTCAATAGGAATATTGAAAGTGTAGCGCACGTCGGGGTTATATAGCTTTCCCACGGACAGCACCTGCAATGGACAGACGAAAGGCAGAAGGTTTTGCATACTTGATGATTTCCACACAAAGGAAATGGGCATGGACTTCCCGTCAAGTTTTTACCTGAAGCAAAAGTTCTTGTTCAATGCGATCTGTGGAGTTGATTCTTTCCACTACATTGTCGGATCCGCTGTATTCTATGACAGCATTCCCAATGCGGATTTCCCTCTTGGACATGGTGACAACGAAGTCTCCATTTAGCAAGAATTCTCCTTTACTGCTTGATAAAGCTGTAGAGAAGAAAAGAGGCTTCACTGATCTACCGCCGATTATTGCCGTGGTGAAACATGAACTCACATTGCCATACGCAGAGTGTTCTTGTGTAAAGCTATGTGAACTGTGCAACTTTACAGACATGGGTTCAAAAAGGTTTGGCCAGCTACATGGCCTTGGAAAATCACTATCACTCTTATTCTCTTGTTTCTTTGCCTGTAAAATGAGAATTAAAACACACCTTACTCAGGGTGCCTAGAAAAACTGAAATCATATGGAATTAAATAGGGATCCTAATTACCGTGGAGCTTGTTCTATAAGCCCAGTTACATGATTTTATATATATGGAAGCATGTGTCATATCACTTGAAAAAAATGTATTGATAAACTGATTGCTTTTAAAACTGATTTCCTCACAAATATTCTCTAATTACAATTAGCTGAACTTATTGAATCTTTGTTCTCCTTCTTTGATATATGTTGAAATCTGAAAATACATGGTTGATGAAATACTCAAAATCACTTTTTCAATGAGTTCAATGTGGAAGCCAGACTTCAAGATGGCTCCAGTGATCCCTGCCTTCTGGTATTCACAACTTTGTGTGATTGGTTCCCTCCCAATCTGAACAGAGCTGACCTGTATAATGACTAGGAGACTGCAGAAATGATGGTGTGTGAACTCCAAAGTCAAGTCAAAGACACCGTGACTCCATCTGGTTCTCCCTTGCATCACTGAACTGGAAGAGGTTGGCTCCCATGCTACGAGATTTGAGCAGCCCATAGAGAATTTCAGGGAGAGGGACTGAGGTCCCTGAAAATACTAGTGAGGAAATGAGGCTTTCTACCAAGAGTCTTTGATGGAGGCATTTTAGAAGTAGATCATGCAGCCCCAGTAGAGCTTTCAGATGAGAGCCTAGACTCAACTGATATTTTGACTGCAGCCTCATGAGAGACTTTAAGCTAGAATCACTTAACTATGCTGTTGCCAATGTCTGAACCACAGAAATAGTGATAGTATGAGTTCATCGTTATAAGCACTATACCTTAAAGAGATTTCAAAACTTAATAAATAAGGATTAATAACCTACTCTGACTACACTTTTAAACTGTGACCCCCTCCCACTACCAACACAACAGCACCTGTCTCTGTCCCAGTTTCTCCACAGCACTTCGTTGACGCTCTGCCTTCCCAAATAAGAATGCAAACCCCATGAAAACAAGAGTTCTGGGACGGGTTTATTCACCTTATATCCCAGTTACTGGAAGAACATAAAGTAAATGGTAAATAAATACTTTCTGAAAGTATGAAGGAATCTCCAGTCAACCTTGCAAAGATGAAAGAAGTGGTGAAGTTAAAAAAATAAATAAACAAATAAAAGTGTTGTAGGTAACTGCTTGAATTAAGCAACAAAAATATTAGTCAACTGAGGATCTGACAGAGTTAGGCCAGTTGCTGTAAAGTCAATTCCATCTCACGGCAAGCCCATGGGTGTCATGGTAGAACTGTGTTCCCTAGGGTTTTCAATGGTTGTTTTTTTCAGAAGGAGGTTGCCAGGTTTTTCACCTGAGGTACCTCTGAGTAGAATCATCCCTGTAACCTTGGTTAGCAGCCAGGTACATTAACAATTTTTACTACCCAGAGCCAGAAAAGAAAAATAAAACCCCCTCAACTGCCATCAAGTCAAGTCTGACTCATAGTGACCCTGTTTAGGACTTATGAGGCTGTAAATCTTATGGGAGCAGAAAGACTAATCTTTCTCCACTGAGCAGGTGGTGGGTTTCAACTGCTGATCTCTCAGTTAGCAATCCAGTGCTCAGGCCGCTTAAAAACCAAAGAGGAGGAAGCAACACTGACAAGGACGATGACACAATAGTTGCCTCAAAAGAATGATCCATTTATCAAAGGGCCAAGAAAGACACCTGGAATGGCTGAGGAAGCCCCAGAAAGCTTTCGTAAAAGATGGGATCCTTTCAGATTTTTATTGTTAAATTCCAACTTGATGTGAAAATCCCACTAATCTGCTATCATATGACTAGACTGGAAAATTGACACTAAAGTATCTATGAATTGCTTTATTAAATTTTGTGGAATGAAAGATAAAACCCCAATAACACCTTTCCCCTCTTGTATTTACTATAAAAATTTCTTTTCATCTTAAGTACCACTTTTTCTCCCTAGTACCGCAGTTTCTTAAATAACTAGTCCCCCAAATATTGGGTCTGACCTGAAACACAAGCATGCAATAAATTAGACCCAGAGGTCAGTGGATTTGGAGTCCTGCTGGGATGCTGTAGGATAAGCAGAGGACTGCTAACCATAAGGTCAGTGGTTCAAGCCCACCAGATGCTCCTCAGAAAACCTATATGGGGTCGCTCTGAGTTAGAACCGATTTGACAGCACACAACAATAACAGCATCAAACATTTGGACCCCGAATAAAATGCTAGAGAAAGGCTCTCTTATACTTTGTATTTTGTGTACAATTAGTCAGTCTCCACAGTGAGAGACTCGTTGATACACACAGGTTATGTAGAGCAGGATTCATTGCCAGCATCACCTCTCAGCAGGAATGACATTATGACATATTGATAATGTCTGTCACAGTTGCGGAATGGGTATTGGCCACAACATCACGACATCTTATCTAACTCCCGGGGAGATTCTAACCTGTCTTTCATTGTTTTGTTTTGTATTCACCATGCAGGCCAGAGACAATGTGCATGCAGAAGAGATTTAAAGAACTTTGGTAAAATAGGTATTGCATCTTTATGTGGGGATTAAAGAGTTGAAGCGCTGAATATTCTTTGTGTTTCTGAAGCAGTGGTAATCTTGTTTCCTTGACCTTGAGAACCTCACAGAACTCATTTGTGTAACACTTGACTGATGTATGGGATTGCTCTTCCCAGGACCAGGAATGCACTCTACTGAAATCTATTCCTGATCCACCACTTCACTTGCCAGAATTTCCACCCATAAAGGTTTACAGCCCGGAAACCCTGTATAGGGTCGCTATGAGTCAGAACCGACTCCATGGCACAAAACAATGACAACAGGCGCCCACCTGGCCTCCAATGGAAGAATAAAATACCTTCGTTTGAGATAGGTGGGAAGGGTGTGCTATCATAGAAAACAAGTGGCTCAAATTCCTTTGATAGTCTAATGTACAGATCACCATGTGAACTCCTTGATAAAATCTCCCAATAACTTTACAAATCATCTCCTGATTTATCTTTCCAGCCTCACCAAAAGCCTCCCACCAATCAACTTCAATCTCCAGTCACCCATATCCTCTGGGCAGCCATGCACTGTTCATGTGACCTTGAGTAAATTAATTAACCTCTCTAAGCCTCAGTTGCCTCATACGATAGTGATGAGGAGTAAATAACACAGGTTGAATTCCTGGCAGATCATAATGCCTTTATATGCACTGTCTTCTTATCACACCTCTATAAGGAATGACCTACTACTGATGTCTAATTGATGAATGAGAAAACTATGAATTAGAGGTTGTTAATTTACAAAGACTATGTGGCTTTTAACTAGGAAGTCTGTCTCCACAGCCTGTTAGCCATGAAATAAACCCATTGCTATTGATTCCAACTAAAAGTGACTACGTAGGACTGAGAATTGCCCCATAGGGTTTCCAAGGCTGTAATATTTATGAAAACAGACTGCCACATCTGTCTCCTCCCACTAACCTTTCAATTAGCAGGCAAACATTTAACCACTGTGTCCCCAGGAACAAACAGACACCAAATACATTTAGGTTACAGATTTTTAGAAATGTATATGAGTTAGAGTGTTTGTAAGATGGAGTGAGACCCTATAGTAAAGCAACCACTGAAATCTTTACTTTAATAAGGCAATGAAGACCCATGTCCATAGTAGGTACTCAATCAGTGATGCTGAATGAGCGAGTGATTGATTGAACCTGACATTCACGACAAGGAAAACAGACTGCTTCCAGCTAAAAAACTCGTTTCCAGTCAGCGAAAACTTCTGACAACCTCGTCTCCCCCCTAGGGCTCCTGCAGCATGACCCACCAGCCAAGCAAGACACAGGGCTTTCAATGGGTCACTGGCTGGAGATAAGGTGATTTCTGAGGCACTTTGGTCATGTACAGCGTGACTGTATGATGTGATGCCAACAAGGTCACCCAGTTCTTTCAAGTTACTTCTGACACTACAACCCAGCTGACACTTCACTAACAGAGGGGAAATGAGATGTCACAATGCCAGTCCTATAAATTAAGCAGAGGATCCAGTTTTACTGTATTCAAAAAGCAATCATCTATCCAAGGTTCATTCTGGGGCTCCTTTCTATTGCCACTTTGTTTCCTCTGTTGTTTATGCTAACTTGAGGCATTTCACCCTTCACTGCATGTTTCTTTTCCAAGTAGATGGAAAGTAGGGCATGAGATAGGGGTTCCAGTGATCTAAGACTCCTCTTACGATTTGCTATGATAAACAATTTGGTCCCAGACATCTTGAAAGTCATCAGCTGAAACAGAGTTCCTGCTTTATCTTGAATGGAATCAATTCCTGTCTTCCTATTGCCAGAATTAATCAAGGGCTGAACGTGTACTGGAGGCATACTGTGGTTGCGGTGTGGTTGTGGTTAAGAGGCCAGTCAATTCCATAGCCATAACCATCTTGTACAGAGTCTCTGAGGAGCGGCTGGAGAGTTTGCACCGCTGACCCTGCAGCATCAGTGACACGAATCTGTAGGGAGATACTAACATGTCATGTTGCTGTTAAAGACCGTCAAGTCGGTTCTGACTCAAAGTGACCCTGTATAGCAGGGGGAGTAAATATCTGACACCCGCAGACCCTATGTTGTTGTTGTTGTTAAGTGCCATGGAGTCGATTCTGACCCATAGCGACCCTGTATAGGGTTTCCGAAGAGCAGCTGGTGAGCTTGAACTGCCAACTTTGCAGTTCAAATGACTTTGCAGTCTGGCTCATTAACCCACAGAGCCACACCAGGACTCCATATGTTGTTGTTGTCAGGTATCATCAAGTTAGTACTGACTCATAGCAATCCTGTGCACAACAGAATGAAACACTATTCATTCCTGGGCCAACCTCACAATTGTTGTCATGCTTGAGCCCACTGATGCTGCCACTGTGTCAATCCATCTTGCTGGGGGTCTTCCTCTTTTTCTCTGACCCTCCACCTTACCAAACATGATATCCTTCTCCAGCAACTGGTCCCTCCTGACAATGTGTCCAAAGTATGAGAGACAAAGTTTGCCCATCTTGGCCTCTAAGGAGCACTCTGGCTGCACTTATTCCAAAACAGATCTATTGGTTCTTTCGGCAGCCCATGGCCCTTTCAATATTTTCCTTCAATGCCATAATTCAAAAGCATCAATTCTTCTATGGTCTTCCTTATTCACTGTCCAACTTTTGTATGCATATGAGGTTATTGAAAATACCATGGCTTGGGTCAGGTGCACCTTAATCCTCAAGCTGACATCTTTGCTCTTCAATACTTTAAAAAGTTCATGTGAAGCAGATTTGCCTAATGCAATGAGTTGTTTCATTTCTTGACTGCTGCTTCTGTGAGTGTTGAAGTTGATCCAAGAAGAACTCCTTATAAAGCCGGCTAAATCATTTGGTCTAGCCATGCCAAGCAACCGCAGGTCCAGCCATCACATTGTTGTTGTTAAGTGCTGTCGAGTCGTTTCCAGTTCATAGTGACCCTGTATAGGGTTTCCAAGGAGCAGCTGGTGAGCTTGAGCCACCGACCTTGTGGTTCAAATTGACCTTGCAGTCCAGCATATTAACCTACAGTGCCACACCAGGACTCCAGTCATCACATTAGGGGTGAGCTAGTAAAATGGAGTCCTGGTGTTGCACTGTGGGCTAATGTGTCAGACTGCAAAAGAGCTCTGGTAGCGCAATGGTTACGAATCGGACTGCTAACCTCAAGGTTAGCAGTTCGAAACTACCAGCCATTCTGCAAGAGAAAGATGAGGCTTTCTGCTCCCATAAAGATTTACAGCCTTGGAAACCCTATACAGGGTCACTATGAGTCGGAACGGACTCCACGGTACTTAACAACAACAACAGTTAAATGGAGTCCCAGTGTGGCGCTGTGGTCTAATGTGTCAGACTGTAAAGTCATTTGAACTGCAAGGTTGGTGGTTCTAGCTCACCAGCTGCTCCTTGGAACTCCTATACAAGGTTACTATGGGTCAGAATCGACTCAACAGCACTTAACAACAACAGTTAAATGGAATCCTGTTATGGCGCTGTGGGTTAATGCACTGGACTGCAAAGTCAATTTGAACTACAAGGTCAGTGATTCAAGCCCACCAGCCGCTCCTCAGAAACCTTATACAACAAGGTCACTATAAGTCGGAATCGACTTGATGGCATTTAACAACAACAATTAAAAGTTTAGTCAACTATAGCAGGCTTATTTTTATGTTGATGATTTTGTATGGCCCACGAATGTTGTTATAAATTTTGGCAGAAAAAAGGTTCCCTACCCCTGCTGTCAGAGTTCCTAAGAAGTAGCTAATTACCAACCTTGCGATTAAGTAGTCAAGTGCTTATTCTACAGTGTCACACTGGGACTCCAATATATCATATTATTATTACTGAAATGATTACCTCTTCTGAAGAAATATGAACTGTGTGGCATTGGGTACAACTAGCTTTAAACCAAAAGGCAGAAGAGGTCTATGTGAAAGGGCAAACTCCGACTGGGAGACTTTCTGCTTCCGTATCTTGTAAAACAAGTGGCTTCCTGAATACAAGAGGATTTGCTCATGCGATTTGGGCAGCTAATTTCCTCTGCCCCTTTTCATCTATCACAGCTGGGCTGTTGCAAAGGCCCTCTCTCCTGGACATTGCTCCCTTACCAAAACAGACCAAGAGAGAATGATTTGATGGACCTTTTAAAAAAAAATAAGAGGGATCAGGAGGAAGACTGCTTAGCAACGTGACAGCTATGAACGTACCCAGGCAAGACTGAATTGTGGGTTTTTTAACCTTCTCAGTGCATTTGTTGATTTTCCTCCAAGCCATGGGTAAACATTTACATACCCCAGACTTGATGCCAACATCAGATTCTTCCTAAATTGTAAAGTAACCACTGTAAGGTTCAAAGCTCTGAGGTCTCCCTTTCACTCTCAATGAACTGGGGATTGCATGCTTACCATTTGCATCCAAAGAGATTTTCTGAAGCTAAGAGGTGATTTTTCTCAGAATACCTCATTAAACAGCCACAACTAGTACACACTGCTGTCCCAGAAGACAAATCATCTTTCATTTCAGCATTCATTCTTTGAAAGGAGATTAAGGAACCCTCAGCAAAGAATAAAAGATTATCAGGTGGCCCCTCCCTGAGTTTAGGCTCCTGACCTGGGTTGATAAAATTGAATTGGAGGGAGATAATTTTTCTAGGAATGAGAATAGTAGAGAATCCCTCTATTTTTTCGAGGTAGAGAAAGGAACAACTCAACACAGTGTTTGGTTTTCAGGAAATGAATTTATAAAGGAAGTTTCATGCAATGCTGCTTGATTTAATTAAGAAGCAGTCAGGGCACGGCAGCCGCATGCTCAAATTTATAGTCAAGCACAGGAAGAAAATGCTTGACACATCTTGCACACCAGTGGAGTGAGAAGCACGGGAGTCCCACAAAAATAATTTGTAAAGGACCCCCACCAAGTTTGTTCATTGATTTATAGCCACTCCTCAACTGGGAAGTAAGAGTGGGAAAAGCTGATATAGGTACTGAGTCACTAATTCCAAGTAAGATGTGATGGTTGACTTTGTGGTCTTCGGAAGAACGGATGACTAAATGTCCAAGGTAACTTCATCCCCTAGTAAGCACACAGTAGGTACTGAACAAAGACAGCACTTGCAATGGCTTCCCCACACCTCAGCACTCATTTACTTAACGTACTACGTGCAGATTTTAAGTCAGGAGCTGAAGATAATGAAGACTGCACAACACTATTGACCATATGGTTAACTATGAAACTTCTCATCTCAGCTGATGGCAACTCAGTCTTTTTATTTGTTAGTTTCAAAACCCTGGAGTCTTTCCAGACTCTGCTCTCTCACACACCATTTCTAGTTCAGCAACACCACCAGATGGCTCTACTTTCCAAACACAACCAAAACCTCATCATGTACCACCACCTCCACTGTCTTCTACTTCCAGCCAAGACACCTGCATCTCTCTCAGATGATTCCAACATTTCTAACTAGTCTCCCTGCTTCTACGCTGCCTCTCTCCATCGACCATTGACTTTCTACATAACAACCAGATTGATCCACTAAATGGTAAGCTCCAACAGGGCAGAGATTAATTTACCTATTTATGTATTTATCTTGAGGATCTGCTATGTTCATTGTACCTAGAATGGTGTCTGACATAATGAAATAAATGAATGGATGATTACACTGCAGAAACTGCTGCAATGAAGTCACATACACATCTTGTACTTGATTAGCATGCTGGACTAAAGGAGAACTCTGAGTCTGCAGGATTTCACACACACATAAAAAACAAAGCAAAACAAAACTGATACAGATTCTAATTGGATTTAACAAATATTCATTTAATAGCTCAATGTCCAAATGGTTGTGGGCAAGCCGCTGCATGGGCTGTATTCAGAGTTCCTACCTGGGTATCACAGGCAAGAACACAGGTTCATTTCTTTTTTAAATGACAGCCCAGCAGGACTGCCCTCATTTCTTTCAGATCAGAGTGCACGCCATGCAGGTTTCATGGCTAGAGGAGCCTAGTTGTTCAAGGAGCCAGACTTCAATCTCTTTCAGGCACTCCCTAGCTCCCCACACCCTTCTTTAAGCAGCGAGTGGGCAATTTACAAAATGATAAATTGAAGCAATGGGGGACCAAGCTGAGCAAACCATTGAAAATCAACACAGGGTTGGTGGTGCATTGTGGGTTATATAATAAGAAATGGATATGAGTTAATCATGTGCCTGGGCTCAGTGAGAGATGGATAAAGAGTCCATAAAGTAGCAAAGTGGGCTGGCCATTCCAGTCATGACATGGGAAAAATAAGTGCCATTACAGAACCTTTCAGAACAACCAGTCATAGGAAATACAGAATAAACCAAATAGTGTCCTGCTACTGGTTACAGCAGAAAACCATAAAAATTAACTCAAGTAATGTCTTTAAAAGGAGTCCTGGTGTAGCACTGTGGATTAATGTGCTGGACTGCAAAGTTGGTTTGAACCACATGGTTGGTGGTTCAAGCTCACCAGCTGCTCCTCAGAAACGCAACACAGGGTCTGTAGAGTTGGAAACAACTCAATGGCACTTAACAACAATGCCTTTAATAAAACAATTTCAGGACAGTGACCCATAGGATAGGGCTTATTTATTTATTTATTAAGACTTAATAGGAGAAAATGATTTTGTTATAAATGTACAAGGTTCTGGTATGGCACTGGAGGGTAAGTATTGGACTGCTAACCACAAGGACCAGTAGTTCAAACCTATCAGCCTCTCTTGGAAATCCAGCCTCTCTTGGATACAGGGCTGCTATGAGTGGGAACCGACTTGATGGCACTTAATAACAACAACATACAGGATAAGTCCTTTCAAAATTGGGTTTGAGGCCTTTCTAAGATCCAGAGTTACTGCTGTTAGCTGCCACTGAGATGGTTTTGACTCACAGTGACCTGAACTATGAAAGAACAAAATACTACCAGATCTTGTGCCACATTTACAATCATTGGTATTTCTGAGCCCATTGTTGAGGTGACTGTGTCAGGCCATCTCACTGACAGTTTCCATATCAGGGAGAAGTAAAATGGTCAATTCCTTTCATGAAAATACAGGTCATACGAAAGCCCTCTGTGAAAAACAGACATCGGCGGAGAACAACAGAAGCTGCCAACACCCCCCAGAGAATTGCTGCCAGCTCACCTAAGTAGTTGTCATCCTCTGATTTCCCTGAGAAACTGTGCTGCCGCACATCGATACTTGTAGCACCAGCTGGAATTCGGACGACAGTGTTGTAACCTGAAAAGAAGTGAGCAGACATTCACTGGTTCATTTTTTCTAAGCGTAGAATAAAAGGTGAGCAACAAAGGAGAGTAGTTCTCACTAACAGGTGCCTTATAGACAGATGGATAATGTATTGTCAGAGTTTACGTTTGATATGAATACTTTTACATATTACAAGAGATTAACAATGTTTACACTTGAACATTTGCATTCTCATGGTTCTTCGGAACTTACCATAATGCACTGTATTAAATGTTCCTGCTACTGTTTTACACGAAGAATTATCGCCACCACAAACCCCACATTTATCTCTTCGGGCTTTTGAGTTTAAAACATGATCACATCCAGCTTGCTTTAAAAAGAAAACATTTGAAATAAATGGTCAGTACTATAGAAATGATAAAACGGCAAATAATGGCTTTCTTTGAATGATAGGCATTCAAAATGACAAGAATCTAAAGTCTCATTAAATGTGCAAAAGTTGAGAAGTAAAATTGTCCATAATCTATTGTCAATGTGGTCCTTGGACCAAGAACCTCAGGTATCACCACTACTATTAAGACTGCAGAATCTTCGGCTTCGCCTAGATTTGCTGAATCAGAGTTGGCATTTTAACAAGAATCCCACATGATTCATCTATCAATTGAAGTTTTCGAAGCATGGCCCTAAGACTAAGTAGAGTAAATGAAGTCACTCTAAAACAACAAACAAAGCAGACTGGTGAGTGCTGAGTTCAATCCCTCACACCCTGTTTACGGGAACAGCCACTGTCTATTCTTGGTTATTAGTTACACATAAAAATAAGAAACCTCGTGGTGACATTTTCCAAGATTTCAAAAGCACCTGGAAAATTCAATTTCATGTGACATCTCTCAAGTGTTTAAATACTGGCTCTGAATGCAGGCAAAACAAAATTAAAGGCTGCCAGACTGAGGTCCCAGGCCGCACGGGGCTTCCTGAATCCCTTGCGTGTTAATAAAATGCTCAGTGTGGATGGAGCTCTGAAAAGAACAGCAGCAGGGACTAGAAGACCATTAGTGAGGCCTAGATATTCACACTCTTACCCACTTTCGTCCTCGGTGTTAGCTGGTCTTACAGCAGAAACTTCATTTGATGTCATAGAATGCACTGACAAGGATGAAACCGGCACTGTAGTTGGGTGTTAGGAAGTGAGTGAAGCTCTTAGAGCTTCTTCCAATCAAATGCTACTGCATAGTAACTCTAATTAGCCCTTGGGCCCCATTCCAGGAACTGCATCTCATCTCAGAGCCTGCCTGTGGTAGGAGTGATTTCTGATCGGTAAACCAGTACCAAGCCCTGGACACATCACGGCTCTGATGCTTCACAATCTGCCAGAGGTTTCTTGATCTCGCTTTCAAGAATACTTATCAGACAGGTATATCAGGCAGAAGCCCTCAAATTTAAAATCACCAAGCGTCTGGCCAGTTTGGCCTCTTTTTGGAGCAGTACTTTTCAGTCTAGAACACTGGATGAAGGCTATAGTAAAGGAGTGTGTGTATGTGTCTGAATTATTACAATGCATCTTCAAGGGGAGGTTTTGTGTAGACCTCCCAGCCCCACAACTGCCACCAGAGGCTGAGAATGTCCAGAAAAATGTAAGGCAGTGGTTCTGAAATGCTGACATGCATAGAATCCGGGGATGTTACTGCTGCTGCTGGTGGTCTGGGACTATGCCTTGAGAGCCACTGCCTTGGACATACTGCATAGACAGTAGCAGTTGGTATTCTCACAAAACACAGCTTAGCAGTGACACAACACAGTGAAGAAAATGCCACTTGGGACTTACCCGACACAAGCCTTGGACACAGATATCATTCGTGTCCTGGCCACAAGGCGTTCCATCAACCACTCTGTCTCGGAGCTGGTAGTAGGCGGTGCTCCCAGCCACCCTGCAGAACAACTTGCACCGATCCTTCATCAAAACTGGAAAGCAGAAACACAATGCAGTGTGATTTTGGTGCCTGGGCCCAGGGCCAGCCTGACACCACGGGCACCTTCCCTGTGGGGGACTTACTTCCACTGTACTTGGGCACCCAGCGCACTGTGGGAAGCAGCCCATTGATGTTAAAATGCTTCCCGTCAAAGTGAGCACACTGTTCGTCTCGGAAGTCACGCTTCTGCTTGAGACATGGCTCTGTGTTGCAGGACTTGAATTTCATTCTGCGTCCTACACAATATTTCCCACCGTTATTTGGCCTGAGGAAAGATAAAGAAAGCACACTTTGTATTATAATATCTCCCACCATTGCTCCCTCTTCTGTAACTTCGTGTTCTCTATGGAAGCAAATTGATGTGGCAAATGATAGAGAAAGGAACCAGGCCTCTGAAATCTAGGTTTGTTTGCATTCTGCCTTTAACTGCATTCTTTGTAATGGTCTTGAGCAGGTTCCTCAACCTCTATGAGCGTCAGCCTCTACATCTTTAAAATGAGCTATAGCTACTTTGTAAGGCTGATGTGAGGATAAAACAAGAACATATAATTTAAAGCGTGAAGTACAACAAAATCTAATATCTATTAGGCCATTTTCTGTCCTCTACGTTCCCAGTCCCTTCCATTTAAAGAATGTAGAAGGCAAAAGGTGGCAATGAGTAATTGGGATTTTTCCTTTCTGCCTTCTGGACTTTACTCATGGAAGACCATTCTAAAACTGTGCAGTTCCATCTCTGTTAATTCTACCTCTTGTTTGTTTTGATATACAAATAAAAATGAAACAGAGGAAATATGGTCATATTTTTACTAACTGAAGAGGAGAAGCAGGAGAGTGTATAGTATACTGGTTTTATTAACTTTCCGGTGACAAGAGTATGGCATATGACTTGCAAAGCATCATGGTACAAATTTAACCTTGGCACACAACTCCGTACATGCATTTTCCAGATGTGACCCAGAGAGGAAATTATACAACACATCCACCAGCAGCCAGAGATTTGCCAAATTCATCATGGAAACGGGAAGATCACAGAATCATAGGAAGTCAGGGCTTACCCACCCAGGATTGGAACAGCTCAGATCTCACAGCTACCCTGGGACACCCCTGAAGCTGAAAGCACGTTTTCCATATTTTTTCTTTAGAATGAAATGTACAGAGTAACGCTAACCATGATAAATGCTTTGTATTGCTTTGTTCAACAGAGTTTTTGAGAAATAGCAAACTTATTTATGCCCATAAAATATAAAATCAGAGGCAATCTTGTAATATAGCTAACGTTCTAGAGTTCGATCTGAGTTCCAACCTTGGCCTTATCCTTGCTGTGTGACATAAGCAAAGTTCTTAACCTCTCTGAGCTTCTTTTTCCCCATCTCTAACAAATGATTCCTGATGCAGTGCTGCAGTGCTGCACTAGATCACAGGTCAGTTTGAACCACAAGGTTCATAGTTCAAACCCACCAGCCATTCCTTGGATACCCTATACAGGGTCGTTATGGTTCAGAACTGACTTGACAGCATTTAACAACAACAACAATAATAAGTATACACAGTAAGTACCTGAAAATGTTAGCTACTGTAGAATTATGCTTGCATAATCCAATTAGGGGAGTGTGATGGCTCCATACGATAAGCACTGGACTTTGAACCAGAAAATCAGTGGTTCCAGCCCACCACTCACTCCATGGGAAAAAGATGAGGCTTTCTGCTTCAGCAATGATTTACAGCCTTGGAAACCTTATATAGCCACCATGAGTAGGAACCAACTTGCTGGCCCTTAACAATAAGAGCAACGTATCCAATTCAGCTGTTTGTTTTGAAGACCAGCTCTGAGCTATGTGAATTTTTTGTGAGGCAAAATTAGATGCTCCTTAGGGTGTCTGAGTCTTAGGAATAAGCAAGTTGGAAAAGCTTGTCCTGATACTGTATCAATGTGCTCCCTAAATCAAAGCCTAGCAAAGTAAGGTAAGCACATGAGTTTTGCACCTGTAAGCTAGGCAACCTTGTATAAGCTACCTGACTTCTCTGAGCTCCATCCTTCACATTTAAAACAGAAATAATACTGTCTACCTCAGAGGCTTGTTATGAATTTGACAAGCTTCGCAAACTCTGATAAATGCTTACTCCTATTTATCATGAAGAAGACTGTATCTAGAGATGCAAAATGGCACACGACCCAGCAGTGTCTCTATCTGATTGTCTTGTGTTCCCATCAAACACAATGAAGCCCACATGCTTGGTATCTGTATTGTGCACTCAGCTTGCCAAAATTCTTTGCTATCTTGTCTAAGGGTAGGGCTGACGAGGTACCTTGTGTCTAGTAAAATGAGGTTCAGACAAGCCAAGTAATTTGCTTGCAGTCACAAAATAATAACAAAGAGCCAAGCCAGGATAGCCAGAATGTAAGGTTCCCAGTTTTTGTTCTTTCTGCTACATCATCCAGTTGCTGTACACTAGAATCTCCTCTTTATCTTTTTTTGGTGCCATTTGGAGATGCAGCCTTGGTTTCCTGGATACCAAGCCCTTTCCTCTGTACTAAGATATTCCAGCCTCATGCATAAAATATCATAGATTACACATGAATAATACATCTGCTTTTATACCTGCTCAGGTGAAACCAGTTTAAAATGAACTATAAGGCAGACCCTCTTCGATTTTCCATTAGGTCAAAATTAACTTCACGGAATCTTTTTAAATGTCCCAACTGACTATAATGGATCAATCATTTATTTATTTTCTGAAAGTAACTCATATTTATTTCTCTTTGAAAATAAAATTTTAAAGAAGTTGTTTTTTTTTTTTTCCATTGGGTTCCCTTAGATAACTAATCTTTGCTGGCTTTTGGACATTTATCAAGAGCAGCAGTTGTTTGGGCTACAAATAGTTACTACTTGTTGTTGGCTCCCTTCAGAAGGTAGCACGGTTTTAAACCTCTACAAAAATGGAAAATTATATTTAATGATTTATTTTGTATAAGCAACATTTTTTATACATAACACATAAAAATATTATATGTGAGGGGTGACACTGGAGAGGTATTAGAGACACGAACTCAGGAACTCTTGGGTTTCAGTTCTAGTCTTGTTTCTTATTAATGGTGCAATGCGAAGCAAGCTGCTTAATCTGTCTAATCCTTACCTTTCACATCTATAAAAGGTGATGATATTAGCATCTACTTCATGGGATTGCAGTGAAGGTAAACTAGATTAATGCAGTTAAAGCACTTAGAACAAGAGCTGGTACACAGCGCACACTCAATACATGTTTAGTTACTACAGGGGCCAGTCAACTACAACCTGTGAGTCAAATCCTGCCTGCTGCCTGTTTTTTTGTTTATTTCTGTTTTTTCTGGTATGGCCCATAAGTTTAGGATACATATTATATTTAAAAATAGTTTTCAAACCACTCAAAGGATAGTATTTCATGACATATGAAAATCAATTTCAGTGTCCACAAATAAAGATTTATTGGAAGACAGCCCCAGTCATTCATTTGCGAGTAGTCTCTGGCTGCTTTTGCCCTACAAGAGCAGAAATGAACACTGTGACAGAGACCATGTGGCCCACAAAACCAAAAACGTTAAGTATCTAGCCTGTTAGAAAAGAAGTCAGCTGACCCCTGAAGCATTCTCATATACAGGACAAATACACCTGCACATTCTGGGCACTGTCACTAAGTGTGCACAGTCATCCCGCGCAGTACACAGTAATGAGTAATCATGTGCTGTTGAGATCTTTTTTTTCAGAGGTGCCTCTAGGTGAGCTCAACTCAATGTCAATTTCTCAGTAATGTGACTTCTCTTATAAAAGAGGAAGCTGCATTCAGGTCACATGCCTAGTAAGTAACAAGAACTGGCTGAAAAATTAACTCAGGTTTCCATGATCCCAAAGCTCAGATCTCACCTTTTTCTACCATGCTGTCTGTCTCAAAATAGACAAAACTTGGTTTGACACTTTAGCTGCTTTTTACAAAAAGATAAATTCTAATTTCTTACTTAACTATGGATGTGACTTTAATAAATGGAAGTTTGCTCTTTTGAAACATACGATTCTTCTTAGTTCCTTGACAATGTCTTTTCTGCCTGATCTGTAGACACAGTATAATAGGAAACGCTTCAGCCATCTGCATTCACCTTTCAAGATGGAAAAATTCACTGTATAATTTAATAGTTTAGCTGGATAAGAGTATTTTTCCAATTTGGTAAATACTGGAAATGATAGGAAGTGCAGCTTTAAAAAAATTACTATGAAGCAGAGTTTCCAACTACAAAGTCTCTTTATATAATGTTGCATGTCAAACTAGAATGGAAATTGCCAATTACTAGGAAAGTAACTACTGAGAGCAGCAAAGTTGGAGCTTTCTCTTTAAGCACATGTTATACAACCACTCCTGTTAATGCATACAAGTGGTCTTCATAAAGTTCATGCAAAAATTCCATGATCTGCTCTTATTTTCCTAAAGAATTTGCTGAAGTCCCCTCGTACAGGGAATTTGAGGTGATGCCCACCAAAGCTATGAAGGAATTTTTGTAAAGCTCACCACAGGTGCACTCTGCCCTCCAGGAAAACTAAGCTTTGCTCTGCAAATGGGTGTGGTCAGAAGTCACACATCTATGCTTACTCAGAATGGACAAGCAGATACAGGCTTAGCACAAGCACAAGTTTCTAAAGATACAGCCAGCACACGTGTTTCCTGTGTTGTTCTTTAAGGAGAGGGTCTGATGTCCAGTTTGGGGGATGCTGAAAGGCTAGCCAAAGATTAGGTGGGGTGGTGCAGGAAGCTCAAGCAGCTGACCATTGGTGATTCTTCCAATCTGGCCAGTGTAGGGTACTAGGTATCTTTAGTCCTCATTAGCTAATGACAATCCCACAGTAACCAATTCTCAAGATTCCAAAACAAGTTATTCCAAATGCAATGTCTCATAAAAACTTTGTGACAATTCTGTAGAGCCAAGTGAGAGATTAGTTTTCATAGATGAAACACACATGTCTTTGTTGTGCTACTGTGAAGTGCCATCGAGTCGGTTCCATCCCATAGCGATCCTGAATAGGGTTTCTGAGCAGCTGGTGAGCTTGAACTGCCAACCTTGTAGTTCTAACAGCTTTGCAGTCTGGCGCATTAACCCAGAGTGCCACACTAAGTCTTTACTATTCTTTAATTTATATTAACATATATAGTAGAAGAAAGATGAGGCTTTCTGCTCCCACAAAGATTTATAGCCTCAGAAATCCTATACAAGTTTGTTAAGCGACAGAAATGGCTCCAATG